TGATATCACAATCAAACACAAGTGCAGCATGGTCAGAAAAAGCAGTATCTACCACATTGGTATTGATAGAAGGAATCCCAAATGAGAGGACCAAGTCCAGAGTGTGGCCATGCTTGTGTGTGGACCCAGTCTTCCACAGAGTTATATTAAGAGCATCAAGCAGATCAATAAAATCCTTCACAAGCTGTTTCTCAGGGCAGCAAAGATGTATGTTAAAATCTCCCAGAATTAAGTCATGATCATATTTGGGCATAAAAGCTGACAAAAGTTCAGAAAAGTCCAATATGAATATTGCATATTGCATCAAACTTTGGTGGCCAATAAATAAGAATTCCTAAAAATGTGGAGTCCAGTCCAAAATCAAGCAGGCATAGCTCAAAGCTGTCAAACTGATATGAGTAGCCAAGCTGTCTGCAGCTTACACTGTTCTTAACGATGCAGACCAGACCCCCGTATCGACCCATCCTTCTTAGGACAATAAAACAAACACAGCCATCCGGTGATAGTTCAGCGAGCACATCAGTTTGTCCCACGGGAATCCAACTCTCCACAATTCCAAAAAAGTGAAGTGCATGGGACGTGAAGAAGTCATTGAAAAGGAAGGATTTATTCATGACTGACCTGGTGTTCAGAAGTCCAAAACAGACAGAGCTCAAGGGAGGAGTGGCAGATTTAGAGCAGGCAAAGGTGTCCGCTTCCATCTTTTCAACTGGTACTTGCTGAAGTTATGTAAGTTAGCTCCTTTCCAACAGACCCGGAATGGCACTGGAGCACGAAGAGAGCTGGCGATCCAGGTCCTACCAACCAATGGAACCAAAGAAGGGCTCAGTCACGATTGCAAGCGGCTCGGGGCAAAGAGACGGAAGGCCGAACCACCCGTGAGGAGCGTTGTAGGCTAGTTCTCAATCTAACGAACCGGCCACTCTGATTCCCACGACATCGACGGCGTTACCTTTTGATGTGAGGAACAGATGTGGGGCAGAAAAACGCTGGTATTCCAGCCACCTTAGAATCCGGAGTTCGAGGAGTAACGCAGCTTCTCATCAGGATTGGTTCATAGGTAAGTATGATTCCCAGCAAGGATCCCCGATCATATGTTAGAAGAGAACAAACATTTTGCATAGCACAGCATAGGATTACAAAGAGACATAAAAACAAACGAGCGACAGACGGCGAGCCACCAACACTGGCGCCATCTTGGTTTTTAAATCTGTTGCCTAAGTAGAGAGGCCAAGAATGAAGTCTTGGCCTCTCTGCTTAGGCAACCTGACCCTGGATAAACCCACGTTAATGAATGAATGAATGAATGGATGGATGGATGCTTTTGATATCATGATATAAATGTAGATTATATTTTACAAAAGTACTTAAGTTTAGAAAAACATGTACTTCTCTTTTCTATTTTAAAAGAGTTGCTACAGCAGACATTTACATAGAAAACAGAAGTTCCTTTAGTTCTGGTCTGAATGAATGAATCTCCACCACTAAAGCGTTGTCTGCACTGCCTGGGGCAGGCCTCCTCACCCTGGAAACCGAGCAGACAGCTCTGACAGAACAATGCTTTATAGCAAAGGAAAGAGAAGATATTCGCTTTCTGTGCTACCAGATTTCTTTGCCTTCATAAGATAATGCTGTTTAGATGTCATACTGATTTCCTGTGTCTGTGTGAAGCTAGCCTGGTCAGGTGGAACAATAACCTTAGAATTCACTGCATGCCGAACAAAGTCCAAAAAATGTCCAATTACGATTAGTCACTGTCCGAAAACACTGCACACTTCAATCTTATCATAATCGTAACAAGTGAAGCTGTAGAAAACTATGAATATTTTATTCAGCGGCACAAAAAGAAGCATCCCAGAGAGACAGCAACACAAAAAACAAACATTTCACACGCAAATGCATTTAAAGTGACCCTCAGCTTTGCTGTTTATCACTGATTTGATTTTGACTTCTCACAAACAACCTGCAGTCCAACATGACAAGCTATCACATCAAAGAAATGAACCTGATTGGGGAGGGCAGATATAGTCATCAGAAGACAGATTGGCAATTGCATCTAAAAAGGGCAGCAACAAATTCAAGATGAAAGGAAAGCCTTCTCTTTGGTCTCATCTGCCAACCTGGTATGGATTGGACAGGGAAAGTGATTGGGCCTTCTGTTTTAATTTAGTCTGCTCTTCAGTCTTGGTACTTCACTGTCACTCTCAGATAAAATCACACTAGCCTTTGAATATCTTATGTTATGGAACATTAGTCTAAATCTATTATGTGTCAGTGCTTCAAATCAGACTCTGGGTATTTTGTTATAAGGATTACACTTACTGTTATTTAATTTGGTTTAATTCACTCTACATTATTTATTTATTTTTTTATTTTTGCTTCAATGTGATTCCCTGAGCCAAAGACACCGATGTAAATGTACCAGTCAAAGAAACTTCTTCATAATGTATTTTTCATGCTCTGTGAAGGAAATAAATTCCAGATGTAAGTAAAGGAGGGACATCAGTAAAATTCAGATGCACGTTAAGATGTTGTCACAACGGATCTGAAGGAGGGAGTCCTTGCTTTCGTGTTTTTGACATATTTTTGTTTCATAACTTCAGAGACTATAGCAAATATGAACATAGTAGCTCTTTGAGGAGCACAAAAATGACATCATTTTCTTAATCAAAACCATCCATCTCAGGTAGAGCGGTAGAGCTAAGCAGGCATTCACTCAAGTCTTGTAGCACCAACTTAGGGACGATTTTATTGACAGTTTCTGACTTTCAGAGCACAAAACAAAACAGTGATTCTATAAAATGAAGCATGTAGAATAGATTGTATATAATATGAATGATTATTTCTAGTCCGTAGAACTTTTAACTCAATAATATTACCCTTTCCGCCACCATTGATTCTTCTGCAGAGGCTGATCATTTCACTTTGTCAGGAGCAGGTCTGCAGCAGCAGTGATGTAGTCCTTCACAGACTCCTCCTGCATGAGACGTATATTGTTTATTCACTGTAACTCAAACAGAATGGAGTATAAACTTTGTGATATTAGGCTTTTCAGGAGTGCACACTACCTACATTTTCATAGAAAATGCTTCTTCTGCTACCATCATCCTCCTGAGCCAGTATTTGACCCCTCTTTTTTGGCTAAAATCAGACTGAATGTGGCCTGAAAGTTTTAGTTTTTTCTAAATGATTAAGTCCAGTTTTAGATGTCAGCAGATAATTGTAAAAGTCTTTCCAGAAGGATGGTTCACCTCGTGCATCCACATCAGTCAATCACCAAATATATCACATGTATAACCTGAATGTGATTTGTGTTATTATAAACTGTTGCTCATGGTGCCACCAAATAGTGGTCCCCTCTTTGTATACTTTGTATTGTAGCGTTGTTAATTTACATAACTAGAATTTAACAGCTCTTGCTATTCAGCTTTGTTAAACCCTGAGAAGGATCAAACGAATTGGCAATGAAACATATATATATATATATACATATATATATATATATATACATATATATTTATATATATATATATATATATATACATATACATATATATATATATATATATATATATAAATCCACAGATATTTATATATTCGATAGAGGTTCATACAACAACTGGCTTGGTCTATATTTAATACAAAGATTAATATTTAATTTAAGAGATTTAAATTAATAGCAAAAGTTTATTTATTAATTCAGAAGATCTAAAGAGATCTTTGCTCATTCATTGATCAATATACACCACTCTGTGTTTTATTCAAAGAAGAGTCAGGTTTAAAAAGTTAAGAATTTATTACTGACAATTTAAAGATGACCATTTAAAAGACAATTCATAAATGACAATTTATAAAAGGCTTTGGCATTAAAGCTTGGTATTAAAGCAATCTGTGTCTGGATGAAACTAAAAATGAAGTGTGTGTGGTTGGATGTGTGAATGCAGGTCTCAGAATGTTTTTATCTTAGAGAGAGAAAACGCGTTCTGGGTGAAAGAATTTGGTTTGCAGTTAAGCAAAATTATTTTTACAAAAAAAGAGGCATTCAGACGCAATCTGTGTTCTACCTCACCGTTCAGACGACCCTCTGTGTGGATCCGGACGTCAAGGGAGGATGCTGATCTGCCTCTGGGTACTCAGTCTGATAGGGTAGACCAGTGGTACCGACTGTCTGGTCCTGGACAGGTGGAAGGTTTTGCATCTTAAAATTAACTCTGAAGGAGTTTTGTGTCAGCTTGTTGCAGATGGCGTTTCTGTAGAAGCAATTCAATCGGCGTGACAGAAAAGCTTTAGTAGAGGTTTCGAACGGCCGACTCGATCCTCTGGACTCGTTGCCACGGAGAGAATGTTTGTGAGCTCAAGAACTGAACTTGAACTGATGAGTTTGGTTTTAAGAGACGGCCGGTAATCTTATTTTAACGAATTAGATTTTGACATGTAGATTTAACATACCTCGGAACACGCTCTCTCAGAGACAGAAAGTTCTGGTTTGTCATGTGACAAAGACGTGTGAGTGCAGTTAACCTTAACCTGATTCACTGTGTCCTGCATGATTGTGTATAAGTGCAGATGATCTTCTAGTCACTGTTAAACATTACTGATTATCATAAATAATAATAATTATTAACCAAAGAATAATAATTAATTTCAGTAATTAAATACATTTATAATGAACCTTGATGATTGTTTATGAACATTGTAATAGACAGTGAAAAGAGTTTATTAAAAATGATTCTTTCAAATCTTGAAGTGTCCTTCGTCTTGCGGATGGAACAGCAGTCAGATAAAGGCAGTCAGATTAAAGGGGTGGTAGACCGACATTCAGTCTCCTGTGATGGATAATCTGTAGATAGAAGTGCAGCCAGGACAGCTTGACCCAGCTGAGGAAGTGTGACCTTTGGGTCTCAAATGAGGCCATTCATGTGGCTACAGTATACATTTTAGAGGCACTCCTGCTGAAGTGCTTTTGGCAAACATTTGTAACTCATCTTCTTTTTTCACAGAGTGAAGTTAAAAGAGGGAGTGACATTTCTTGGGGCTCGCCCCAGCAACCCCACTCAGTGGATCGTCAGCCAGGATGTGAGGAGTGAAGGCCACCGTGTGGTGACTCTCCATTGCCGCAGGAAGGAATCCACCTACGACAAGCAGAGGTCAGCATTTAAATGTGTTCACATGGAAATGATGGGAAAACAGCTGGTTTGATTTCTTATCATGTTTGTATTTTTCACACTTTAGGCTCAGACCTTAATGCCCTGATAAGCCTTTGAGAGCTGCACCTCCAAAAATATTTCTTCACTGTCACTGTAGAAAATGCTGTCACCAAACATTCACGTTTCACAAGAAACAGACGCTCTGAAATATTAACCATCTAGCAATGGTCCCTCTGCTAAAACGACACACTTAACTTGACATAAATGTGGGCAGCAAAAAGTTGTCTTCCTGCTGTGATTATGCCGCTCCCTCCATTCCTCTGCTCTCATTTTTTATTTACTCACTTATTTTCTCCACTGCAAAGCCCCAGAGTTGCTTTGGCCATTTCTAATCGGTATTCATGTCCTTAAACTAATCTGGCAGATAGGGAAGTGATTGCCAGCGTGCGGAAAAGGTTGCTGTGTTAATTAAGTGTTGATTGAAGGCCTTTGTGAGTTTTAATGGTTTTTCCTTCTCGGATCAGGAAGTTATTTTAATAAATCTTACTTTCTAGTGACAGGTGTAATTTTATGGATTATAAGCAGATTTGGTGGTTTGGGAAAGTATGTACTCTTTAGCTTCTGTTCCACTTTGCAAATTTAAACTCTTTCCTAAGAATAAAAAATAAGACAGATGTCATTGCAACTGCAACTTTATAATCAAAGTTGTGCAGCGGGGTATTCAAGTGTAGAGGTGCCTGTTAAACATGAATAATTCAATCTATTGGTTTAGTAACTTTTTTAGACTTGCTGCTATTAGTGGATCATTACAAGAAAGGATTATGGTTTAAATACAGCGTTACAGCACATAAAATCCAGACAGATGTGTGTGCCTGTGACTGAGCAAGGCTGTAAAATCAGATGCAGCCAGTAAACATTTTCTTTAACACACTACTGAACATTTATAAGTAGCTGTGGTTCAGCTGTGCCATGTTCCTCTCAGTTTGTGTTGGACTCTATATCCCTAACTTTTCTTAACTTCATGTGAATCTTGTTTCAGGTTTGACATTTAAAAGTTGTCTTTATGATAAACAGAGTGCAGTTTTGACAGCTTAGTTATAAATAAAATGGTTTTGGTTGACTGAATGTGTTAACTGGGATGCAAACATGCAGCTGCTGATTAATATGTTTGTATTTTCCTTTTTACCTTAAAATAATTTTTTAGTGTTGAGTTTCCATCTCTAAACTTCCGTCCATCTCAGATCTTGGAAAAGGTTGTGGCTAAACAACTCACAGCTGCTCTTGATGAACATAACATCTATGATAGCTTCCAGTCAGGTTTTCATAGAGCTCATTCTACTGAAACAGCTCTTCTTAGGGTCTCTAATGACCTTCTGACTCACAGTGATGCAGGGGACTGTTCTGTTCTGGTCCTGCTGGACCTGACTGCAGCCTTTGACCAGGGGCGGATTTAGGACTGAAGAAGATCCGGGGCTTAACACACACGCGCACACACACGCATGCGCGCACACACACGCATGCGCGCACACACGTGACACGCACTAGTCAACATCATATATATTTGTCTTGTACCACATAATGTTTAATCTGAAGCTACATATTCAGCATTTTCAGGGCAGAGTATTGTTCCTGTTAGTGTTTAGTGTGAGATGATAGTAAATATTCCCTTTCTTTCTCCAACAACTTTACCTGATAGTAAGCTAACTTTAGGCAAACCAGCAGCACAACAAATATTTTCAAATAAGACTCACAAACCTGAGTCAACACCAGTCTCATCAAAGCTGGGGTTCTGTCGCCGTACTTTTGGTCTAAAAAAACGTCCTTATATCCATCTTCACTCATGCGTTTCAGACAGACTGCAGAAGCCAGCTGCTGAAGGGCTTCTCTTCAGTCTCAGGTAAACTGTATACTGACTAAGTAGCCTAGTGGTAGAGTGTCTGCCCTGAGATCGGGAGATCAGGGGTTCGACTCCTGGTCGGGTCATACCAAAGATTTTGAGAAAAATGGGACCCAATGCCTCCCTGCTTGACACTCAGCATTGGATTGGGGTTGGATTGGGGGGTTAAACCACCAAATAGTTCCCGAGCGCGGCGTGTCTGCAACTCAGGGGATGGGTCAAAATCGGAGAATAAATTTCACCACACACCTGTGTGTGTGACGACTAAATGGGACTTTACAAACTACTGCCAGCTGCGCCCTCTCTGTGTGACTTTGGTACTGCATGTTACTTCCGCGATTTAGATCCGGGGCTTATCATGAAAGATCCGGGGCTTCAGCCCAAGTAGCCGGGCCTAACGCCGCCCCTGCCTTTGACACTGTTGACCATCACCTGCTACTGGAGAGGCTGAGAGACTGGGTAGGCCTATCAGGATATGCTCTGGAGTGGTTCTCCTCTTATCTTTTTGAGCGTTCCTTTTCTGTGGCCGTCTCCATGTTTAGGTCCTCCACCACCTCTCTTACCCATGGTGTCCCACAAGGTTCTGTGCTGGGGCCTCTGCTCTTCCTCCTCTATCTGCTTCCTCTTCAGCACATCCTGAGCTCATTCAAATGAATCTCCTACCATCTTTATGCAGATGACATCCAACTGTACATCTCCTTTAAGCCCCATGAGATGTCTAAGCTGCAGCTGTTACACACCTGCTTAGACTCTATCAAAACCTGGATGGCTGGGAGCTTTCTTCAGCTGAATGAAGATAAGACAGAGATCCTCATCTGTGCCCCAGAAGAGCTGGTTCCCAAAGTCAGAGACTCTCTTGGTCAGCTTGCTTCTCACACCAAACCTTCTGTCAGGAATCTTGGTGTGACCTTTGACCCAGCTCTCACCCTGGATTCTCATGTCAGTTCTCTTGTTCGCTCTTCCTTCTTCCATCTCAGGAACGTTGCTAAGCTGAGTCCCATTCTGTCCCTCTCTGAACTTGAGACAGTTCTCCACACCTTCATCTCCTCACGCTTAGACTACTGTAACTCTCTTTTCACGAGTCTGAGCAGAACCTCCCTGAACCGTCTACAGGTGGTTCAGATTGCCTGTGCTCGGCTTCTGACCAAGTCCTCCAAACACACCCACATCACCCCGCTTCTCCTCCAGCTTCACTGGCTGCCAGTCAACTTCAGGGTTCATTTCAAGATCCTGATTCTGGTCTATAGGGCCTTACATGGACAAGCACCATCTTACATTGGTGATCTTCTTAGTCCCTACACCCCCAGCAGGTCCCTGAGGTCCAATGATCAAAGCCTACTGGTTGTGCAGCGCACCAGGCTAAAGACCAAAGGTGACAGATCATTTGCTGCTGTGGCCCCCAGACTCTGGAACTCTCTCCCCCTGAACCTGAGATCAGTGGACTCAGTGGTCTCCTTCAAAAAGCAGCTGAAGACTCACTTGTTCAAGCTGGCTTTTGTATGACCTTCTTCAACCCCTCTCTCTTTGTTCTGCTCTCCCCACCTATTCCACCTTCCTCAGGATCCACTGATTTCCCTATTTCCAATTATCTCTCTCTTTCTTAACATTTTTTAATCACAATTGTCTATTTTTGGACATTTTAAATATATTTTTAAACATTTTCTAAATGCTTTTTTATATTTATACATTTTTTGTTTTTGTGAAGCACCTCGTGATTTTTATCTTGAGAGGTGACATAGAAATGATATTTTCTTCTTCTTCTTCATAACTCATGAAAGGCCCTTAATAGCATTAAAAATGCATGTAAGGTACTATTAAGGTTACAATCACTCATCACTTAAAGGTCCATTATGTATGAATGACGTAAGAATGACATCCTGCGGTCCAATTTGGTTCCTGTAGTGCATTTTTCCAAACAAAATGTTACTCTCTCACTCCCGTTCCGCACGTTTTATGGCCATCGCCAGTTACGGGTCAACACCAGAGATTCTAGATGACAAGCGAAGAGGAGTCGTACAGTTAGTCGAAGAGTAGATAACTACATTGTCATATCTGGTGTTAGCCCTCTTGGATGTTTTACGGTAGGGAGCACTTACTACACTACTCCAGCATTAGAGCAAGTGTGTCCGTGTTGCTGTTTAATTCTGAATGACTCATTACAGGAAGTAAAATGCCATGATTGAGTCATCTTTCACTTCACTAGGTCCAGCGCTGTCCACATGGGTGCCCAAGGGGGAGGGGTGTGGTTGGTTATAAACCTGATCGGTAGTGCGTGATACTCCTGGGTGGAACAGTGGCGCTGCTCTTCAACCCCCCCACCCCCCCACCCCCCCACCCCCAACATGACAGAGACATAAGACTTTAAATACTTTTCTAATTTTTACCCAAATGGTAACCTTTTGATTGTTGTCTGCAACAACTTTATAATACTTACACCTGGCAGTGACCTACAGAAGCAGCACTAAAGTCCTTCAGACAAATGAAATTACATCCGAGTCATTTATCAGTTTTATAATGAGAATATAAAAACAGCCGCCCAAGGTCAGACCTCAGCTCCAGCTGTTAGTGTGAGATCAGCCTGAACTTGAATTAGCTGTAAAACTTTGAAACTGAATGTAAAACACCTTTTGATAAACATGGTTAAAAAGAATGAAGAAGGTGTCCTATTAGAGCCAGATAACAGTTACTGTATGTACTATTGTTACATGATGAGCCTGTTGGTTTAAGAATGCACAGCCTGCTGGTGGTTACCTGTTTGGGAGGTTGTAGTTTGGTGACAGGAATATGTTAGCGTGTAAATGCTGCTAAATGCACATCTTTACAGTTTAAATTAAAAATGCATTATTAGTGGAAAAGACAGAGCTCTGACCTCCATCTGAAATGTGTATCCGTCTGATTTGTGGATAGCAGGGGCTGCAGTAGAGAAAAGGCACCATTTCACTTACAATTAAATGATGTACTGACATTACTTACAGCAGGCATGGGGAACCCTGGTCCTCGAGGGCCGGTATCCTGCATGTCTTTGCTCCAACACTTCTGATTCAGTGGTTGATTCACCTGTTCAGCAGCTCATCAGGCTCTGCAGAAGCCTGTTAATGACCCG